TCCAAGACTCACCGCCAAACCAAACACGCAAGCCACCATGCCTTTCCCCTTCCCAAACTCCACCCTCCTCCTCCTCCTCCTCCTCTTCACTCCCCCCTCCTCCCTCTCCACTCCCTCTCTCCCCTCCGGCGACGTCGACCTCCTCGAATTCCCCCTCAACCTCGAATACCTCGAAGCCGAGTTCTTCCTCTGGGCCGCCCTCGGCTACGGCCTCGACCGCGTCGCCCCCAACCTCTCCCTCGGCGGCCCTCCGCCCATCGGCGTCCGGAAGGCCAATCTCGACCCCTTCGTTCGCGACATCGTGACGCAGTTCGGCTATCAAGAAGTCGGTCACCTGAAAGCCATCAAGCAGCGCGTCAAAGGTTTTCCGAGGCCGCTGCTTGACTTGAGCGCGAAAAGCTTCGCCACCGTGGTAGACAACGCGTTTGGGAGAACTTTGGATCCGCCCTTCGATCCGTACGCCAATGGGCTCAACTATCTGCTCGCTTCTTATATTATTCCGTACGTCGGGTTGACGGGTTATGTGGGTGCGAATCCTAACCTGCAGAGCTCAGTCGCGAAAAGGGTAAAGCGTTTGGCTCTCTATGACATGATTAGCCTTTAAAGTCTTGCTTAATTGTCATTACAAATAAATAATTAAATTTCTCTTATCATGTAAGTAAATATTTTTGAATTATATTCTTAGGGGATGTTTGGTAGCAGGATTTAAGCTGGATTTGAGGCGGATTTGAGCGGAATCTAGTCAAACGGCCTAAAATGTAAAACCAAATCTCATGGCAAATGAAAGCCGCTATAGACGAAAAATTCCGTGCTAAATCCTAGATTTCCAAAATCCTTTTTTTTTTGCTAGATTTACGAAATCTATTGGCTGTGGAGGAAGAGTCTGCTCGTTAAATCCGCTCTATATTCAAACAGTCGCACGAGATTTAATAGGATTTATCTATAGAAGGAAAATTCCGTGCTAAATCCTAGATTTCCAAAATCTTTTTTTTTTTTTGCAGGATTTACGAAATCCATTGGCTCTAGAGGAAGAATCTGCTCGTTAAATTCACTCTATAGTCGAACAGCTGCACAGGATTTAATAGGATTTATCATGAATGTAATCAAACATTTTTCAGGATTTAGGCCCCTCAGCATTTTAGAAATCCAGATTTAGAGAATTTACGAAATCCCACTTAAATCAAATCCTGTGTGCTACTAAATAACCCCTTATGATAAGAGTGTCAACATGGGTGAACGGGTCCGATGTGAGTCTAAACAATAAAAAAAGTGTATCCGAACTCCACATGTTGACAACCTGGTTGATATGAAGCCATACTAAAAATCTTTTTGATTTATCAACAATAGCATTTAGATTAAACGATTAAAAATAAGAAATGTCTATATCATACTAACATGCAAAGTAGTTTAAGAAAAAAAAAATTAAGTAGACTAAAATTAGGTTCGTGGATCAGCTTAAATCCAACCCGCCAATCAAACGGGTCAGATTTCCGAACTTTTATTCTATCCAGTGAACGTACGCAGAGCAAAGTTCGGTTTTAGGCAAAAAGGCGCCTGTACCGAGTTTTTTAAAAAAACTCGGTACACTGAAAAAAAACTCGGTACAGACGCTTTTTTTTCCTAAAATCGAACCTTCCTCTGCGTACGTTCACTGGATAGAATAAAAGTTCCAGATTTCCAGACTGAAGAACAAACTTAATGATTAAATAAGCCAATCCGAATATCTTAATTGATCTTAATAGATCTAAATGTCCAAAAATAATAAATCATAAAAAATTTTAATTTGAATATTCAAATTTCTAACTTTTTTTCTTGCAGCTGGTGGCCGGACTATTGGGTGTAGAATCAGCACAAGATGCGGTGATCCGCACGCTGCTTTACGAGCAATTAGACAAAAAGGTTCACCCCTACAATATATCCGTTGCAGAGTTCACCGACAAGATCTCCGTTCTCCGGAACAAGCTCGGCGGCGCCGGCATAAAAGACGAGGGGCTTGTTGTGCCGCCGGAGCTCGGCGCAGAAGGGAAGATTTCCGGCAATGTGATCGCCGGCGACGAGAACTCCATTGCTTATGCTCGTACGCCGGAGGAGATACTGAGGATTGTGTATGGCACAGGGAACGAGAGCAAGCCGGGTGGGTTCTTTCCCAAAGGAGGTGATGGGAGGATTGCAAGGTCGTATCTTGGGAAGGAAGAGTATTAGGTGGGATTGGGAAAAAAAGTTGTGTTAGGGTATTTGATGTAAAATAAGGTAGGATGGGCTTTAAAATTCTTTGATTTGTGCTGAGATTAGTGCAATTTAATATATTATATATCGCATTAATTTCAATGTAAATCAAATAATTTTAGAGTTTTATGCCAATATATTGTACTATAATTATTTTTTTCTTATATTAGGTTTTGTGATTGTTTGGCGGGGTATTATCACAATGTGAATATATATATATATATATGATGTAAAATTTGAATGTAAAAATATATTGAATATTTATTTTTATACATGATATGTTGCAGTGTAAAAGATTATATCTGTTGCGTCCTGGAATATTCGCGGCGGTAGAGAAATATATGGTTTAACGTCTTAGCATTGTACGAAGATCCAGCACACAATCAGATAAGTGAGAGGATGTAGCGTTCATAAGAGACACCAATGTTTTTTACGTGGAAAACCCCTGAAAGGGGGAAAAACCACGGGGCCAGGCCCAGTTTGAATGAATCCACTATGTCATTCACCTTCATGGAGTACCTCACAACTTAACCTATGATAGAAACATCAAGAGTTATTCTCAGTGACGGAGCCAGAAAATTTATCAAGGGGGGCATAAAATTTTTCCTCAACTTTTTTCATCCGGGCTTGGGACTGGCATAGACAGTTTTAAAATTTTTTTATTAATAATTATCCAAAAATATATAATATTAAATACAAGATAGTAAACAACTTACAATTTATAACGTCTACTATTCATATTCTGAAAGAGTTGAATGATAACGTCATTATCAATATAATCCAAATTTTTTTTTCAACATAAGCAAGTAATAAATCATTCATCCATTGATCGCCCATCCTATTTCGCAATCGATTTTTTATAATATTCATGATAGAAAATGCTCTTTCAATGCATGCTGTAGCAACAGGTAATACCAATGTCAATTCCAGTAGTTTAAAAACAACAAGATATATTATATCCTTCCTACTTTGGATCATTTTCTCAGCAAAACTTCCAACGTCTTTTAATGAGGTGAACTGCAGCCTAAACCTTAAATCCTAAACTCAAACAATGAGATGAATATCATGAGTTATTCTTACAAGAGTTGTGAAATCGACTATAAACCTGCAATACGAGAGGAAGATCAACGTTGTTAATCAGATCTTAAGTAACATGATATGTTGCACTGCAAAAGACAGTATCATAAACCCTAAATCCTAAACCTAAATAATGGGATGAAGTGATGGGTCAAGTATGGATAATTGGGTTACTAGAAAATGCCTATTCAGCATGGTATATAATAAAAAACAGAATTTTATTTTCCTATTATTTTATGCTTCCTTTTTCAGCCACTTGTATAAGTTTTTGTGCTAGAAAGTTGATTTCTATAAGGACAATAGCTAGGGGTGTCAATATTTGACACGACACGAAAACCCGACCCGGACCTGACCCGAAAAATCCGGGTTGGACCCGAC